GTCTAATGTTACAACTAATCAGGGATCCCTTTAATTATAAACACCTTCATTTAAAAATAGTGTTTTGTGTTTACCTGTGTTGTCTTTGACTAATATTTAAATTGGTTTGATGTGCCGAAACATTTAATTGTGACAAACATGCAAAAAATCAGGAAATCAGGAAGGGGGCAAACACTTTTTCACACCACTATAATCTTTTAAAATGGCTTTTAGTTTTGTCTACTGTTTTGCAATTTTTCAATTTGAACTAGCCTTTTGCTACCTTTTTTTACTCTAACTACTTTTAATTGTAGCTAGACTTTTGCTTTGTTCAGTTTTATCTATAGTTTTGTCTTACTGTGAGCTTTTATAGCTTTTTTTTTAGCTTTTATCTACTGCTATACTATTATTATCTTCAAGCTAGCCTTTTGCTACTTTTAGYTAACTTTGCTACTTTAAGCTAGGCTTCAGCTACTTTTAGTTTCCTGCAAATATTTAGCTACATTTACTTTTTGTCAGCCTTTTGGCACATTTAGCTTTTAGTTAACCTTTTGRTGATTGCTGCTAGTGCAGTTTCAGCTTGTTTATGATATTTCAGCAGTCTTTCCTCAGTGTTCACAGCTGTTCTGTAATTTATGATCTTGTTTTTGTTCTTYATAAAGAAGGAATATGCTCATTTTAGCCCAGTGTAGCACAAAATGTCAGAAAATAAAACAAATGTTTTCAAACAAACACATATTGGTTAAAGTAAAATCTGAGTGAGCGAGTTGACAGTTTGTGTYCTGATTTAGAACTTTGAAATAAAAGCATTAAAACAAGTAAAMGAGTTAAAATCTTCACTTCAGTCAAACACAGAAAGCAAAGTTCTTGAAGAACACTGAGTGACTGAGCCTCTGATCCCAGGTCCTCTGATYTGTTTTTTGTTGATCTCAGTCTGGGTTTTTCTCTCTCAGGGCCAGAGACCAGCTGACTGACGTCATCAAAACTGCTACAAAGTGAGTTTGACAGTATTTGTTCCGTTGCTGTGTAATGTTCAGGTTATTGTACTACATGAGCCACTGGCTGACTCTTTCTGGTTCTCAGGGACAGTCCGGTTGTTCAGGGAAACTCCATCCTGGCTCTGAGCGGCCTGGCTGCTGTCCTCGCCAAGTATGAGAGCAACCTGCCCACCGACAGCAGCGGCAGCCTCGGAGTAAGACTCAGATTAAAAACGGGGGTTCAGACACTCGAGAACCTTGTAGAAAACTTGTGTTTCATGTCTCTGTAGGCTGGACCAGAGTTTGTTCCTACTGCCAGCTGGTTGTCCATGGTGCTCAACACGCTGCTCAGCATCATCAGCAGCAGCTTCAAGGCCAGCGGACAAGTCTTCCCCTGGTTTCTTCATGTGAGTTTCATCTGAATGGTGCATTCTGCAGCTGATGGAGCCTCACTTTTTCTGCAACCAAACCAAACAGACAGAGGACACAGTTATAGAGGGGTGAAAGTTTTCTCAGCTGTAATTTATCTGGAGTTTTATCATAAGAAATGTGTYGAACTTATTTTGTCCAGATAACTCAAGTTAATGTTGGAGATCATTGAACTCACTAAAAAAATAGACTCCCGAGTCMCTTTTTTATTATTTGATGAATGCAATACTCTTCCATAAGATAAAGCAGGGTTTCTCAAACATTTTTTAAGCCCCACCCCCTTTGGAGAAAGAAAGTTGTCCTCGCCMCCTCAGCCCCCAGACTCAAAACCAAATAATAAAAGTGTGTGAAACACTCAAGTTTTACTACATATCCTGAAATGTCCATCCATTATCTAATTTTTTGAGTAAAATACAGCAAAGAAGTAGAGGTGTAAGACAATATCAGAACACAGAGATATACTGCAATATTTCATTTCCCGATACTGTATCAATTCTTTAAAGCACTATATTGATTTTTTAATCAATGTTTAAAATGTAAACTTTCATGCTAATGGTTAATTTATATGTTGCAGTTTAGCCTCCGACTGCTAGTTGGCAGCAGTCATCCAGCCATTTGGCTCCTCTCTCCTAAAGAACCAGAGAGTACAGCAGTAGTTCAGACAGCATTGTGAGCATCATGTACAGATGGCTGAATCTGAGTGTATTAGACTGACACCACTGTCTTCCACGCTGAGGTAGAGTTGCCAACTGTCCCGTATTAGCTGGGATGTCCATATTTTAAGTCAAATTAAAGTGTCCTCTATGGCAGTGGTTCCCAAACTTTTTATCTTCTGACCCACAAAATATTCATGACAAAAACTTGTGACCCCAAATATTACTGG